TTCCCCTCACAGATCTATATGTTTTCTCAGATGGATCAGACACTGAACCTTGACAACAGCAGGCAGGTGGGCTATGGCTTTATAGTCTATCAGGGAAATAAACAGCTGGCCAGCTTCTCAGCTGCGCTGAGCCCTATGTCACATGTCTTCGACGCTGAGGCAGTTGGTGCCTGCCGGGCATTAGAGTGCGCTGTGAAGCTCCTACCTTGTGTCACAGAGGACAGCAGCAACCCTCAGATCTGGCTCTGCCTCGACAACACCTCAGTCATCTGGGGCATACGGGGCAGTGCAGCAGCCTCCTCAAACTGGGCCTACAACCGCTGCCATGAGCTCCTCAGACAGCACAATGTCGGCCTGAAATGGGCTCCTGGGCATATGGGGATAGAGGGCAATGAGGAAGCAGACCCCTTGGCTAAGCGGGCAGTCTCATCCACTGCAGCCCCAGCCTATGGTCTCGAGGCAACACCCACAGTCAGTGGGGTCCGCACAGTGGCCAAGCAGCTCAGCCAAGAGGCAAGGCGAAAGTGGTGGAGTGGAGCCTGTGGCAAGCTCTCTGACTGGTACCGGGGCTGGAGTTTCAGCAGGCCGACTGTGGAATACCAAGTGAAGGCCCCTCCGGAGCTCACCATGCCACGGCATGCCCTTCACCGCTGGCTCGCACTCCGCTCCTCTCATGGGGACTTCTCCTGGTACCACAGGCGTTTCCAGCATGCAGATGCAAGGCTCACCTGTGTCTGTGGACACAATAAGAGCCCAGAACATTTGGTGCTCTGTCGACACTCACAGAGGCACTTTCTTCACTGGCCCAAGAGGCCAGCAGCACGGCCACACAACCGGGCGACAGCTGTTGCCTATCTAGGGTCTCTGACCCCTACAGACTTTGTAGAACTGCTGGACTGCACGCAGTTCTACACACGGTACTGCACAAGGTAACGCAGCCGGCTGGCTGCAAACCAACTGACAACCCCCGCAGCAGTTCCACGAGGCCGGCCTGCTGAGTACACCCACGGTAGCTAGTGCAACTGCCAGGGACATCACAGTCTATGCAGACAGTACAGATAGCACAACTAGGCTCATCTGTCTCAATTAGCTGTGGTGTAATCAGTACAGTCTACGTGTCTGACTCAGCTGATATGGTTTTGACTGCCGGCATTGTATCTACGCGTACTCTGCTTTGTTTTCCTCTCGTTTGCCCTTGTCTCTATCGGCTCAAATGCTTCTTCTTCCTTCTTTTCTTTGCTCTCTCTGTCATTCTCTGCTCTTTTCCTTTCACAACCTTCTTCAGTGCTCTCTCCTCTCTTTTCCCCCGGGTCTGTGCCAGGTCACGTGACTGCAAGGTGTTGCAGATGACAACAGTCTTTCCTTCACCTCTCTCTTTTATTCTTTTCATTTTAGAACACACACTTTCCCTCTCTTTCTTTATCTTGTCTGTCTTTCTTCTGATGTTAGAAGCACAGACAGCTTTCTGATCAACTGAGAGAGGTATCCGTCTCTGCTCATTATAAAGCCTTCCAGGCACGGCAGCGGCGGTCCCCTCGGGGAACTACACTATAGCCCCACCATGAATGGCCATACGTCGGGCCAGAAGTGGATGCGCAGCTCAGAAAAATCCAATGCAATGAGCTGAGTCTTCTCAAGAGTTGCCACCTGGAGTGG